GATTTTTAAATTTCATTTTTTGGATGATCTTCAAAGATATAAGCGTGGATTTTAAAATATTATTTTTTAGTGGATATTCTTATAGATTGTGTGGATTTTAAAATATTATTTTTTTAAAGGACATTCTTATAGATATAAGCGTGGATTTTAAAATACTATTTTAGGGTATCTTCTCAGATATAAGCGTAGATTTTTAGAAACTATTTTTTTGGAAGACCTTCTTAAAAGCGTTGATTTTAAAGATAATTTTTTGGAAGACCTTTTAGATATAAGCATGGATTTTTTAAGACAATTTTTGTAGGATCTTCTTACATATAACCATATATACCCTTATAGCCTAGACAGACGACAGCCTTAATTTGCATTAACAGCCTTATAGCCTGTTTTTGTAAAATTCTAAACGAACGAATTCGAGTGACTTACGACCAAACTCCTTGGTTTTGAAAAATATGTCATTTATTTTTGTTTTGAATCAAGAAACATATTTTTACATAAATAAAGGTTTGGTAGTAATTCGTTCGAATTGTTTCGTTTTGAATTTTACAAAAACAGGCTGTTAATTCAAATTAACTTGTACATTATCCTCATTTTTATGTGTTGTTAATACACAAAATCAAACTGAATTTATACTGAATTAGGCAATTTCAATATGGCAATGCTGTAGAAAATTAATTGTTTCTTGTCAAATTTATTTATATTTTTGAAAATAAAAATAAGAAATGAAGGCAAATTTCAACCATTTTTCAAATTGGGAGCTGTTTTGCTAAGATCATAGTTGCTATTCCTCCTTTATGTCATGTATTTATGTAAGAAATTTTCATTCTACACACAGACAAACAATTGTTCTGAAGCAAAAAACAGTTTTGTAAATGCAGAAACTCTTGTCTGTCAGGGGTAAATATTAATTCAAATTAAGAAATATTTAATGCAAATTAAGGCTGTCGTCTGTCTATGGTATTAGATAATATTATTTAGAGAACCTTAAGCATAAGCATAAGTCAGTTGGAAACATATGACTGCATGAGACTACCTAGTATAATTATGCCATGAGCATAAGCGTGGGTTTTAAATATTATTTCTCGAGGTCCTACTACGATTTTAGCGACGATTTTTAAAGATTCGTATTTGATGGATTTGTGAAGCTTATTTTTTGGAGAACATTCGTACATATAAGCGTGTATTTTTAACAGTAATTGTTGGATAAGCGTAGATTTTTAAATATTGTTTTTTGGATTGTCTTCATAGATATAAGTGTGTATTTAAATTCTTTAAGGGTGTCTTCTAAGATATTTAAAGAAAATTTGGAGGACATTCTAAGATTTACGCGTGGAATTTATATTATTATTATTGGAAGATCTTCTTAGATATAAGCGTGGGTTTTAAAGACCATTTTTGGAGGGTCGTCTATTAAGGTGCTCCAATAAGGATGGATTTTAAAACACCTCTTTGGAGAATATTTAAAAAATATTTTTCAACGACTATCTTCAATTCCAATGTAATGATAGTGCTTGTTTAACCTCATGCGAAGGCCTCTTGCACTATTAATCGACTACATTTTCAAGAGTTTTAGAAATGCTCACATTAAATATAATAAGTCTCCATATAAGTAAATTATTCGCCTACATATAAAGGTGTATGTTCGCTGTGTAAGATAGAGATTTGAAATTGGACATATACGTTACTATTATGATATTTGGTATTCGTATTTTGTGTTTTGAGCACATTTTCAACCAAATAAGCTGTAATTTCATATTTTTGTTTCTCATCGGGTAGACAATTACCCTACCAAAAATTATTAATATTAGTCAAGTATTTGAGCAGCTCTATATAATCGTAACCATCATTATTTCATTTCATTTATGTCATCCAATGTAATATAAACAAGTAAAAAAGCGTTAAGTTCGGCCGGGCCGAACTTTGGATACCCTCCACCATAGAAATACTGACAATTTTTTTAAATGAAAACATAGGGAACATACATATAACTACAATTCTTCCAATCGATTGTTGTAAACGAAATTGAAAATTCAGCAATTTCAATGGGGGTTTTCATGGTACAATTATAAAAGGTAACAGCAAATCCCAGCTGATTTGATTCCAACGTAATACTAGTGTCAATATGAATTTGACAAATTATGTTTTTAAAAATCACCCAACAGGAAAATTGGGAACGCATACAATTTGAAATTTTTCTTTATTAATGTGCTCCCGTATTCAATTTACTCAATCTGCCTGCTGGGAAAGTTTGAGGAAGGAAATCTTTCTTGAAGGAATAACTCGCTATTCCCAGCATTGTCATATGTGTTACCCATATATAAGGCAATGGCTCAATTAAAGGAAAGATGTGGAAGCGATAGAAATATAAATTTGATAGATTCTCATTCATGTTTTTCAATTTTTATTTTGAGATTTCGAAAATATTCCATTTTCAAAATAAAAATAATTTGATGATAATTTGTTTGTTTGTTTACATTTTTCTGTCAAATGAGTTGACACTAGTAGAACTTACAACAACAAATTTCCATGTGGTTGTTGTATCGTTTTTTGTACAACAACATTTGCTGTTACCTTTTATTATTATACCATGGGGGGTTTTCCTAAAATATCAAAACCCTAACATGTTGACATATATTATTAACGCATGGTACGGTCAAACATGTGTATAAAATGCTGAAAATACTCCAATTTGGAGGGCAATATTATATATGAGGCATACTAAAGCGGGACCAATATTGACAACATTGTGTAGGAATTAGCAACTACTTGATGTTTTCATTATATAAGGGGTTAGGCCTAATTAAGGGCCGATGTAGCTCAAGTTCCAAGCTAATATTTTAGTTTTGAATCCCAATACCGTCCATCACGCTAAATATTAAATAGGTAGGATGTTTTATATAGGACCTGGTCCTAAATGCGGGTCGATACAGTTCATTCTCAAACCTCACGTTTTAGTTTTTATGTCGATATCCTCTGAGAGAATAATTATTACAACATATGGCTACATCGACTAAATCGTTTTAGAATTCCATACTATGAGGGTATGAAATGCAAATTTCGTCCACCGAATATCCCCCTACTATGGTGGAATACAGCCATATGGGATAACCCCAATACACGGAAAAAATCAGCTAACTATTTTAAAATAAAAAAGGGGGTTATATGGGGACTACCTCTAAAAAGGGGTGAATATTAACATTTTTTGGTAGGGAGATTTGTTACCATATACGACTACAAAATACCAAATTACAGCGAATTCGGTTGAAAACCGTGCTCAAGAACCCCGAAATACTGAAAATTGGAGGGTACCTTTATGTATGGGGGCTACCCGAAAAAATGGACCTATATTTATAATTTTTAGTGGGGAGATTTGCTACGCAATAAGAACTCAAAAAATTGATGGTACCCTTATATGAGGGCTACACGAAAAAATCGACATATATTTATAATTTTTTGTGGAGAGATTTGATACCTAATAAGAACTCAAAGTACTAAATTACAGAATCCGGTCAAAACCCCCCAAAAACTGAAAATTGGGAGGTACCGTTCTATGGGGGCTACCAGAAAAAGTGGACCTATATTTATAATTTTTAGTGGAGAAATTTGGTATCCAAAAAGAAGCCATTTTACCAAATTTCAGCGAATTTCGGTTGAAAAACGCGCTCAAGAACCCCGAAATACTGAAAAATTGGGGGTACCCTTATATGGGAGCTATGTCTAAACGTGGACCGATATAGCCCATCATCGAACTATGGTGGAGGGTATAAAAAGGCAGCATGGCCAATAACTTATATTAACTTATATATAAAAAAATCCAAACAAAGAATAAACTAAATAAATTAAAAATACATAAAAGTAAAAAACTCTACATTATTCGATATTCTATGTACGTTTTTTATATGAATTGGCCTATATTTGATTTTTTTGACATCTCATTGGATGGCAAATGTTCGTACTAAACATTAGAAACATCAGTCGATCTTTGAGTATTACCCTTAGGCTCTTTATAGGTATTTGGATGGTCCTGGACGAATTTTCCAAACCGATCGGAGAATATGTTATATCAAAATTTTCCTACTGGTATTTATTTTTATAATAACATTCGGACCAAATTTGGTTCGAAGTACTCAAAATGGAAACACGGCTCGTGGTGGAAGATATAAAAGTTCGACCGAAAGTAATGACGTTTTTACTCGTATCTGTTTATGCTGCGGTATACTCTAGCTCAGTATGTTGGGTATTTGGTTCTCCATTTGTATGAAAATCGGCCGAAAATGTTCATGACATTGCCCCCATATAAAAGTTCCGATAGAGTTTAAGTATTATGAATGTTTGCCTCATAGTGGAGGGTATAAAAAATTTTGTCCTACCAAAACTAACTACGCTTTTACTTGCTAGTTATTATTTATTTATTTATTTTTTGTTTAATGTAAACACACTCTTCTTTGCAACTTTAAATAAATGTCATATTTACTAATACACGTGAGTGTTGAACCTGAACTAATCGTAAAACAGCGTTGAATGGAATAATACTAATAGTTGCCAAGGCTACACAGATGGCAAATGTTGCCAGGACAAAGACAAAGTCACATTGCTTTCTATTATAAAAAGGACACGTTGCCAGGATAAAGTCATAAATAAAATCACCAACAAATAAAAGGTGTTTTCCTTTGGCCGGTAATCAAATGAAATCAACGAAGCGATAAACTTATAGAAAAGAAAAATAACAACAACAACGACAACAATAACAACAAAGGAAATACAATTTTCCAAACGAGGAAATAGCCAAGTTATTGAATTATTGACAATGGCAACATATGTCCGTATGTTGCCATGGTATCAATAAATTAGCCACTGATACATTTCAAGAATTGGAAGAAAAAGAAAAACATTTTTCATTGTGGAGCTTGGGAAAAAGTTGTCATATTTTTCAGATAGGATTTTATTTTATTTTGGAATAAAAAGAACTTCAGAGGATTTATTGCAATTTTAAGGAAGACACCATGAGTGCTGAATCATTTATTTCAGATGAGGAACGTTATGCCGACGATACATTTGAACAAGAATCTGATACTGAAGTACAGGAAACAACTGAAATTGAAAGTGAAATATCAGAAGTGAGTGATGCCGAAGATAATGATGTTGGTGGTACAAATCTTGGACATAATTCGACCATTAATTCAAACAAGGTACATAACTCATGGCGGTTAGATGTTGAATTTTAAATGAATTAAAATTTTTAAATTATTCGTATAGGTATCATCAAATTATAATTCCCACCACAAAAGTGCTCCCATACAAACAGATGCCGTACCATTTGATAGTTCCTCGGATGAGGAGGATGATGTAATTGTTGGTCAAACATTGGTGGAAATTAATACACCATCGATGCACTTCCAAGAAGAGGAAAAGTTAAATGTCACCAGGCGTCGTGAAATTCGCCCTCTGAAATACCAAAAAACCCTACCACTGAAAAGTATTGATGAACAAAGTAACGATGGCAGTTCGGTGAGTGAAGAAGAGGAATCCCTTGATAGCGAAGAAGAAAGGGAATTTCAAAAAATACGTGAAATGGAGGAAAGTTATTTGTTACAAAAATCAGCCAAGACGCCGAAAAATGTTGACATTAATAATAGTCAACAATTAGAGAGTTCAACATCGAAATCTAAAAGTTCAGCAAGTGAAAGTTCAGATGAAGAAGAAGAGGAGGAAGATGAAAATCAAAATGTGGTTACTACTAATACTTTAGAAGAAGAAGAGGAAGATAATGATCAGCAGGAAGTTCCCTCTCAAACTGAAAATAAATTAATCCAGGATAATGATGTGGATCCCATACCAGAATTAATAGATAAAATCATAGAACAATTTACGCCCAAACCTCAAGTACCACAGCAAATACAAACAGATTTTGTTGAAATTGTAAAAAATTCTCTGACTAATTTACAAAACCAAAATGATAATGAGGAAAAGTTCGATACCATTATTACGGATGAATTGCCACAATCACATCGTTCCGAAGATTCTATACGCATGACCTTCAGCTTTGAACCCAATCACATTTTAAGCCCAGAAAATATTGCAAAGGCATTTTTCGATGCCATGAGTGCTACGAATATTACCTATGCCACGCAAAAACATTCTCATTCCAAAGCAGAGGATCAACAGGAAAATGATGAGGAGCCCAAGGAGATCAAAAAAGAAAACGATAAAATGAATTCCAAAAGTAAAAGTGGATCTTTCGAAGAGCCGAATAAACAAAATCGTTCAACAGGTGTGGAACATGGTGATAATGAAATTGAATTGGAATACGAAGAAAAATCCGAACAATTATCTCAACCGGCTGATGACAACAATGATTATGACGATGAGAGTTATTATGATACACAATTTGAATATGAAACAACCAGCAAAACTCCCAGCTGTTTTAATTCCGACGATTATGTTTTCCATGCTAACTTTATAAGACCTTCACCAACAACGGATAGATTCAGGTAATATTGAGTATTATTTTGAAATGAAAAAGCAAGAGTAGATCTTATACTCAATAATGTAGGTAAGATATTATTAATTTCTTCCGGACTCTTGAATCAATTACAGTATATCTTACATGAAACTGGAACGATCTTATCGAAATAATATAATCCGTACATGAATTATATTGAACAAGTTCGTGAAATTGTATATTCTTCACCATAAGCTGGAGTGTATATTAAATTCATTACTCCTTTTAAACACCTCGAAATATTCACCGGAGACCGAAGATGTGCGTCAGTCTATTAAAATTTCTATAGAGCTCGCAATATTTAAACAACTTGGGTCCCTCAAAAACGCTACCCACATTATTTAATGTTTTGGAGACTATTCAGCCGAATTGGCTCTAATTTTGATTTTTTTTACTGACTTGGTGTCGAAACAGTATAAGTTCTAGTTTTGTTATAGCCGCCTTATATCTGTACCCCCAATTTTCGGTATTTTAAGGATTTCAGATTTCAACGTATTGGCTGTTATTACATATTTTTGGTTCTGTTTATACCCCCAGCCTTAGGTATAACGTGATGGCAAAAATTTGCCTCATATTGGTTTTATACCCATGTATTTTTGGAACCGATCCATTCACACAATTTACAGTCGATTTACAATTGATGCCCATCCATATGTCCGGCTGGTGTGCAAGACAGCTCTCGAAGAAACCGATGTCGTTCAAACATTGGACATCGTAATATTTCTTCCAAACGTAGTTAAAGTTCGAGGTTGGATAATATTGGTCCACTTCTGGTACCTCCCCCACAAAGAGTAAAATTGTTCAATATTTATAAGCCCAATATTAGGCTAATGGTCCGATTTGATCCAACTGTTCACATCGTTAGATTTCTTTCATCTGAAATTAATTTTGAGAATGGGGAAAATCGGTCCACTCCTTGTGATACCTCCGCCACAAAATGGTCAAAATTGTGCTGAAATGAATTTAATTTTTTTTTCAATATTTTAACCATGCCTATATATTGTTGGGAGATGGGACTCCATCTGGTACATACAATGGGTAAAAATTTTGAAATTTGTTAATCCAATAACAATGATGCACATCGTAATATTTATTTCAATCCTAATTCAAATTGGAAGATAGCACCCACCGGTCCACTCCTTTTTTATTCCAATATCAAGATAATGGAATGTCTGATTTGATCCAAATTTTGCAAAACCTGATATTTTTCCAAAACTACTTTAAATCCACCATGAGGTACACAATCAAAAACTTGAAATCGATCTGGACCTTTATATAGGCTTTATTACATGGTACATGCTAAGAGAAAATGAAATATTAAACTACAGGTTATTGGGAATCTGGGCTAGGACCAACTACATACCGAAATCCTCAAATTCTCAAAAATTGGCGACACAGTTTTGTGGGGGCTATACCAAATTGCGGACATATATCGATAAATTTTTGTAGAAGGATTGGTCACCCAATTAGATTGAAAAACGTATCCAAAACACGAATAATGGGAGTAACGTAATATGGAGGCAACTCCAAAACTTGGACCAATATTGACAAATTTTTGATAAGGAGATTTTGTACTTAATTAGAGTCCCAAATATACAACCGATTCGTTTGAAAAACGTGCCCAAACCTATCAAAATTTCGAATATGGGGGAGAACGTGATATGGGCGGTACCCAAAAAAGTAAACCAATATTGATAATCTTTTCTTTATAGTCGACGAATAGGTGTACTGTGTCGATGTGTTTTTCGTGGGTTTCTCCCAGGATCTGGCGCAGAGTGAAAATCGGGTTAATGGTGGATTTGCCAGGCCTGAAGCCGCATTGGTATGATCCCATATTGTCGTTGACCCTTGGCTTCAACCGTTCTCACAACACGCTGGATTGCACTTTATATGCGATGGGAAGGAGACTTATTCCTCTACAGTTGGCACATATCGGATTCTCTCCTTGTTTGTGCAGGGGACACACTATGCTGAGGTTCCAATCATTGGGCATGCATTTCTCTAGCCAAATTGTACTGATCAGCTTTAGCATGCTCCTGACCAGCATCTGACCACTGGTCTTGAATAGTTCGGCATAGTTCCATCGGCACCTGCTGATATATTGTTCTTCAGCCGATTAATTGCTACTCTGACCTCATCTTGGCTAGGTGGTATATACTCTATACCGTTCTGGGGTATCTTCTTCGCCGACACCATTTGATACCAGAAGCTTTTCAAAATGCTCCTTCCTGATCCTCAACACGCTGTCTGTATCTGTCACCAGGTTTCCTTCTTCATCTCTATAGGAGGGTGTGCCTGCCCCAAAACCTTCGGTTTGGTGTTTTACTAGTTGGTAAATTTTCCGGACTTCATTCTTAATCCTGTACATATCGATTTGATCACGATCACGTTTTTCTTGTTCTTTCTTCTTTTTTCTGAAAACACTTTTCTCCTCTCTCCCTTTCTCCTGATAATTTTCTATCGCATTACGTGTAGCTACTGTCTGCAGTGTTGCCATATACGCTGCGTTTTTCGCCTCAGCAGCATTACGACACTGGTGATCGTACCACGGGTTTCTTGATGGTGGTTTTTGGTACTCAAGTGTTGGTTTAGCTGCAGTTTGTAGGGAGTGGGCAATTCTTTGCCATTGTGCTTCTATATTATTATCGGGACAAGGAGTGCTTTCGTCAAACAGGTGGGTAAGTTGAGCGGAGTAGGCCTCGGCTACCTGATGTGTTTGCAGCATTTTGACTTCGAGTTTCCGTTTTGTGTTTGAACGCACCTTTGCTGCAACTTTAAGACGAGTGCGAACATTGGCTGTCTTTTGTCTGCTCATCTTTGTCTTCGGTCGGAGCGTGGGCGCAAATGAAACTGATGTAGAAGAACTTCGCTTTTATACGGATTATAGTAATTCGCTCATCTACTGGAGTGAATCTGGAGACGAGGACTTTTATTCTCCTATTAACCATATATTCGCTGCCAAATTCATGTCTCGTTTCATAGCAGCTATAATACAGTGCGTAATCATCTGATTTACATACTCCTGTCCCTTTCCATCGCATTTCCTGTAAGACAATAATATCGGCTTTGTACTTCTTGAGTACATCCGCCAGAGCGAACACTGCGCCTGATCTGTACAACATGCGCACATTCCAAGTGCAGATTCGCAGATCGTGGTCCTTTATACGTTTGAGGGGGAGGTCAATATTAGGCGGGTTTGGTTTTGTTTTTCTTTGCTTTTTCATAGTAGGAGGGGTTTTCCGAGGCAACTAACCCGACACCCCAACCAATTTTTTTTATAGTTCTTATGGGTGAACGCGCGGCACATACCAGTTCACTATTTCAATGGGTGATGAAAATAGCTACCCCAGGTGACACCGGGAGAGTGCAGTGTCCACAATTGATGAAAGAGGGACCAAGATAAGCCTGGGCTTCGACATGTTATCATTCGCCAATCAGAGCCGTTGCTTAGTATTTATCTTCCCCTACATCACCCAAAAAGAAAAATGGACTTGTGTCCTTTTCGAGTTAAGCCAGCGATGTCCGAATGTACCCAGCGGGTGTCCGAATGTACCCAAAGTGGTGAAGGGTATCATATAGTCGGCCCCGTCCAACTTTACTACTTTCCTTGCAGGTTTAAATTGACTTATATATTTTTTTGAATTTATTAATTTTCAGAGTCAAGCCACATCCAAGAAAAAGTATGAGTTTCTCTAATGAACGAATGCGTGAAATTGAACGGCATAATCAGATTTTATTACGTAAAATCCTCACACAAAAGCCGACCTACATAGCAAAAAGTGCACAGCACAAAGGCCAATCGAATAAGGTATGTTATTATTACATGTTATGTAATATTCACTCGAGAATTATTTATGTTGCTTACTTTTGAATTTATCATTGTTTTTTTAATACGCAAGACCAATAAGATTTACATTAGGCATAATAATATAGTACATTTTTATATTTATGTTTAGTTTATTTAGGCAACAGTTTTTAACATCCTCAACATTTTTCAGACAACTTCCCAGACAAATCTACGACTCACAACATCGGCTGTTAATCGTAAAAAACAACAACGGCAAATTGATTTGGATAATCAGGTATTAAAACGTAAACTAGAGGCTATAGCTCTACGACGAAAACCGCTGATAACATAAGTTATTTTTTTTGATTTCCTTCCCCCCATCTGCGGTATACAATTCCTATACAAATAAATATATTTTTCTGATCTATAATATATTAATTATAATAAATATTTTATTTTTTGTCAAAACTTTATAATAATTGGTTTTTGTTTTTCTGCATATAAATCTCTCTCACAAATATAAACAATTGAATACCACAATAGATTCTAAGGTTTAACTTAATATTATAAATCAGTCAACAGGGGTCTATTTTATTGAACTAAATTGCAACTTCTTCAGCTTTTTCATTGAGGAAATTTTCACCCAATGCTTTGACAGCTTTAAATGCAGCCTCACCATTTTTCTCAATGAACTTTGCTTCGTTTTCTTCTTTAAGTTTGGCTCGTCTTTCTATCTCACGATAAATTAATTGACCAATCTGTGGAAAATGGAGACAATTATTAGTTTTGAGTATTACAAAAAAAAAATATATGATTTAATTCAAAAACTTACATAAACATCGATGGCAGCGTACATCAATTGATCCTCATCCAATGGTATAACATGCCATTTGCTCATACGTACTTTTTTGTTCTTATCGATGGCCTTTTCAACCTAATATTTGAGAAGAAAAAAAAAACAAAAGAAAGAAAAAAAACAAAACAAACAAACAAAAACAAATTAATACGAGTGTTTTTAAAGGTTTTAAATACGGATAAGACCATATTCGAATAAGATTTTGTCTTTTAAACACCAAATAATATTTTAGAAAATCTGATGGCACTCAGAATATGAGATTGACAATTATCAAAACCAAAAGATTTCTTAAAAAATTAGGCCGAAGTTTGCGAGCATTTGTATTAAAATTTAACACTGATTTCGATTGGATCGACTCCTGAGGTTCAAAACTGCACACAATGGAGTTATTTTTTGTCATGGAAACCACCAAAGCGCATACCAGCTTCCATCGAGCTCTAGTCAATGTAAATGATATTAAAGTTCGTTTAGATTTAAGAAATCCACCCGATCGTAAATGTCAATTTCATAGCGTGTAGTCAAATATAATCCACTGGATTTGTGAACAAAACTAACGCGAGGTATTCTCTATGGAATTGACGTTGCAGGGTATATTTATAGATAAGTAAATACTGAAGAGCCCCATAAATGGACGACGATACAACTGAGAATAATGTCGGAATGGAATGAAGAGGCATCCAAGATCTCAAAATGTGTATTCTTAGATGAATACATAATACACTGGTGTATTATTAAAGGGGACTGATGTGATTAATTTGAAGGGGACTGAATCGACACCGATAAAATGGATTCAGATTTCTAATGATATATTACTTTAGAGAATTTTAAAAAGCATGGGAAAATACAAGTTTATCGATGAAACTTTGGCCCTATGTATATAGTTGTAATCAGGGTCCCTAGAACTACTTAAGGTAAAAATTGACTTAAGTCAAGTTTAAGGGCTCCACTCGGATCGCTTAAAAATTGTAAAGTAAAATAGTAAAACGGCAGTTTTTAACAACATATGTTCCGAACCTTCAAGGCTCATATCTCGGGACGTATGCATTTCCCCCACATAAAATATATATATCACTGTAATAAGCTCAAGGAGGAGTGGAGCCCCTAAACTTGATTTGTTAATTTTTTTTTAGATTCTCTTACCACATAATTCGCCAAACGATCTAAACTCCAGCGTCCGCCAGTTTCACACACTTCATTGCACCAGACACCCAAATCCAAGCCGTTTACAATCAAATCGTCAGAATTAATTTCCGGAAAATCTCTACCCAATTTTCGGAAATCACTACAAATAAAAACAAAAAATAAGTATAACTACACATTTCCCTTTAAGTAAATAATTCAAAAACGTACTTCTTAACATTGACACCATGTAAACGAACTCGCTTATGTTTGAGCAAAGCGACAAGAGCTGCAGGCAATTTTTTGAGATTCGTCAATTGAAATATATAACAACACTTTTCGTCGGCACAGATTTGTATCACAGCCGATTTGCCAGGGCCAGTTTTAAATGAAAACGGCCATTCCATGTCAAAGGCAATGGGAACCAAACCATCACCGGGCTGTTTTTCAACAAATTGTCTGTAAACAAAACCAAAAATAGTTACAGTTGCTATTTGATAAGAAGTATTCATTAATCTCTACTTACATTAAACTATCTGAAGCTTCGGCAATTTCATTGCCATCTGTATAATATTTAATCGCACCGCGATATTTAACAAATGCCAATTTCTTTTTCTCCTCTTTTATGGGTGATGGCGCAGCACCACCTTCTTCAGCCATAGATTGTGTATTTCTTGTACTCCGGGTGCTGCGCCTCTTTGGTGGATTCTCTTCATTTTCTTTATCTTGTTTTGTCTTTGTACAAAAGAAATGTATAATACTGTTTGCTGGAATTGTTTTGAATTTCTTCATTACCTTCTTGTCATCATCTTTCGTCTTCATGGCAGTTTGTAAATTACGTTTGCGTGGTGGCATTTTTGTATTTATGTTTTCTTTAACAACCTTATATGTTCAACAATAACGACGGAATGGCTTTAATGGTGGCAACAAAATTGATATGTTTACAATTATGAAGCGCGCCAAAATGCTTTCTTGCGTTACCAACTACATAATATGCAAACAGGGCGTTTTTACATTCTCTCAACTAAATGACATGCGTGAAATTGGTACCAACACGTCAATTGTACACAGAGTTAAAAGACTTTAGGTTCACACGGGCCAGGGATGTGTGATAATCGTGTCTATTTTATAAAAATCCGCATTTTGTATGCCTGAATGGATTAAAATACAATGAACCATGGAAAATGAAAAGACAGAATAACTTTGAAAAAATGTGAAAAATAAAAAAATACTTTTTAACTTAATATATATATAACTTCTGTAGACGTCGGGCATGACTTTCTTTCAATTGTACGTCCGATTCCAAAAATTCCGAGGTGCCAGACGTTGGCCGAGTATGACTCGGGTCGTAGACCCCTCAGTCGTGGAAACGACCTAAATTTGTATGTGTCGTTCATGACTAGAGATGGTATTTACCGGGTAAATACTCAAGGGGTGGGGGCTATATCAAAACTTGGACCCCGGGACCCCATTTAGGATTTCTATATTTGATTGGACATTAAAAACATGTGTGCAAAATTTTGGCCGCCTATGTCAAGTGGTTCGGCAGTTAATGAGTTTATACCCAATTTTTGGGTAAATACTCAAAATAGGGGTACCTTTGTATGGGGGCTACAGTAAACGTGAACCTACATACATAAAAGTTTACATAGAAATTTGGTACCCAAAAATAATACTCTGTGTCAAATTACAGCCAATTTGGTTGTAAAATGTGTTTAATAGACAAAAAAATACCTTAAATCGGGAGATACGGATATATGGGGGCTATATTCAAACTTGGACCCAGGGACCCCATTTTGGATTTCTATATTTACTTTGCATTAAAAACATGTGTGCAAAATGTTGGCGGACTATGTCAAGTGGTTCGGCAGTTAATGAGTTTATACCCAATTTTTGGGTAAAAACTCGGGAATTTACCCACGTTTTAAAAGTATCGTAAAACTTTCCATTCTAAATCGATTTGATAACAGAAACACGGAAATAGGGTGTAAGATGTTGTATTACCGATTCAATATAGTAAATACACAAATAAATACCCACAAATGGGTATTTGCCCAATTTACCGGGTATTTACCCTTTCGGTATTTACCCACTGCCCATCTCTCTTCATAGCGATCGGCGCGATATTTTTGCCCTCTAGTGGGGTAATTGTAATACAAAACAAATCAATATACCTAGACATCTGTAATTATCTTAATATATCTCCCACATCCGAGTATATAGATCAATATAATTTGTAACAATTGAAATATCAACCACTCCTCTTGGATATAGTATCAACTGTACAGGTCTATGTCCTTCAGGATTAAATGTATACGCCATCGAATAGTAATGTCAGTCAGTCTGGTCGTTTGACCCGGTAAACATTGACTGATCTTCGTCAAAACAGTCATGCTTACTCCATGGTCAGACACCTTTCTCTGTGTACAATTTCTTGATGTGCGGGTCATAATTGTGGCCTCTAGCAAACAGAAAAAAACTCAGTTGTTGGTCCATTTCATCTCCAAATTATTAACGGATCATTACCAAAAACAAGAACCAAAACCACTCCTACATGCAAAATTTCGTGACGATTGGTTCATAACTGTGGCCTGAACAGACGGACGGACACATATGTCAAGATCGACTCAGCTAGGTAAGATATGACGATCAGTATACTAAATGGTGAGTCTAGGACTAATATTTCGTGGCGTTACAACTTACTACATAGATGTGTAGGGTATTAAAATAAATTTTTTTGAAGCTCTTGAACTCTTAAAAATCATTTTAAACACTTAAAAACCATTTTTAAAACAAAAAAATATTTTATGTGTTTTATTGAGGTTTACTTTTGAAACCACGAAATGAATACCCCTGTATAACTTTTCAGAACCTAGAACAATCTTCTATTTTTACCAGCTTTGCTTTTTCACATATTTACTAGTTTTTCCAGAACTTGTATTATTATTTTCAACTCTGAGAGCAATTTTGTCATTTTACCCTTTTATCAGCTTAACTACTGAAAAAGTACGGGAACATAACATATTTTAATGTAGTATGTAGAATACGTAAAAAAATATTAAATATTTTATCACATATATTTTTTTTTGCTCCAATTTAACCTACTGTGCAATACACTTTCTTATTTTTCTAGTTGGCAACGCGTGTGCGTCAACAACAGATGTTCGTGTTTTTGCCGCTTTTTGCACAACATAACCCCAAATAAACAAAATCAGAGTCATAGTGAATAAACAAAAGTTATTGAATTAATAAATTATTTTTAAATAAGAATAACCATGGGTGATGCTAAAGTCAATACATTCTTTATCTCGGAAAAAATTTCCAAGGTGCGATGGGTACCAGAGCAGTTGCGTGAAAGTGAACGTTTTCTTACCGGC